TCACCCTCGTTAGAACCAACATCAGGTCAAGTGAAAAATTAGGGGCATAGTAGACTCAAAACTTGAACTTTGGGGACTTACGGATCCTAAATCCGACCTTCTGTATTTTTTTTTCTAGAAAACATGGGTAAAATAGGTAATTTCATATTATTTCCTGATTTTAACTTTTAAGAGTTATTTGATGTCTTAACCCATGAAGTCATTATAAAAATGACCCCAAGCTAGAAATTAATCTCTTAATAGTAGCAACTCTTCATTGAGTCAAAAAGACAATTCCAACTTCAAACCATGACCCAAAGTATATTCTTTTAAATGGGAAAACGACAATATGATGCTAATAAGAAAAACAGGATTATTGTTTGGGTTTTCTCCACCATTAAGCCATTCTGAGGTTGGAAAGGCATCACCCCTGCCACCATTTCATGGTGGTTAGTGGTGGTCGGTTTTAGTGGACATGGTGGTGATGGGGGTGAAATTCGACCAAAGGAGAAACCAAATTGACTTCTCAATCTCAACCAGTTCTCAAAAAATTGCAAAGGAATCATGTGAGAAAGAAAACTAAGGACTTACTAAGAAGAGAAATCGACTCCAACAACTTCAATCTTGTCCACAATGGAAGTCGATTACCTACAAATCCTTCCTGTCGCATAGTTTTGCGTTTTCTGTCCTTGTCATTCCTTACCTTCACGCATGCCTCTTTTTTTCTTTTTGTGGATCAAGGTACACAACACAAGCAAATGGAAGAAATTTCTTTTGATCAACTGCTTAACCATCCTTAATGAATCGAAGATTGTTGATACGCATGTTAGGCCAAGGAAAACCAAACGAACGAGGCCTTATTAAGCCCCGAAATTTTTTGGACGTAACCCATGGGGGTTTAAATGCAATTTTTTTAAAAATCCCCCATACCTAAAAGATTTAATTCCAAACACCCATAACCCTAATAAATATACATTCCAAGCTTATGTTATTAATAGTTAAGCCCCTCAACGATCTAATTTTAACAATTGACTTTTGTTTGGTTTATTTCGATTTATAATATTAGAATCAAAATAACTTTACAACGACTAACTTTCGTGTAACGGAAAATTGACATTGTTAACATAAATATTTTGTGTCGTTACACAATTTGCCTTTGATTTTGGTCCGTTTGTGATGAAGGAAAGGTGATACTGGGTTTATTGTGATAATTAATGGCTGATTTTGTACATGTAAATGACAGTGTATGATGGTGGAGGAGGGTGGAGTTAGCAGCTATTGGTGCTAACATTGCGTTGTTGAATCCAATCATTTACTCAAGCGACCCATTCAACAAGTACGTGGAATTTTTTGTATTATGTGGAATTTAAATGGTATAATGAAACTCGTTATAGTTGGTAGCAGAGACTAAAAAACAAGCTGACATTCATTTTACATCCCATAAAGATAAATGTTTATGGATCATTTAGACTAGAACTTGAAACTTCAACAGACTACATCTCTTTCAAGATTTTCTATATCGTTTCACAATTTCTTTTTTATATAATCAAACAATTACATATATTTATCTTTATCTAATGTAAAATAGGTTTTGATAAACATTAATCATATGCTTTGCAAATTGAAGTATATTTATTGGTTTTTTATTTTATCAAATACTATAACTTAAGTTCTAAAATATATTTTCAAGGCAGACGTTATACTTTTTCCTATATAAATGTTATATAAAATTTAAAAATTCAGGTGGGTCCTAACACCCACCTTGGTATAAGCCAGCTCAATCTCTACTTAAAGCTTAAAAAAACAAAAACAAAAATACTAAAAAACATTAGATTATTACAGATTTACAACATAAAATTATTGATGAAACTGATTGATGTATTTTATGACGGAGAAATGGTATTCCATTTAGCAATAAATTAGGATCAACACAATTAGTGATGTATTTAACCACATGTTATAATATATGGTGCTATTATATGTACCTTCTCATTCACATAAATGATCAAATCATGGGAGTGTACACATAAACTATTTCACTCGCAATGGGGGGAGGGGGAAGGGGGTATATAAACCTGTTTGGGGGTATGTATAGAATTTCTTTTAATACATAAAATATGTTATAGTCTATTTTGAATATGTTGCTAATCTAATTGTATTTATAGGGAGGGTTCAATTGAGAAAAAAAAGGTTGAGAATGTGGGAATCATTCTCAGCCAATCATTTATTTTTGCTGCAAAAGCGTCCAACATACGGCAGAAATGGGAAAGAAATGCACATGTGTTTTCCAACAAAACATATTTCCTTAAACTATGCTAATCATTACCTTAATATATACAAAAACATAGTTTTTTTTTCGTTTTTTTAAATTTTTAGAAGTTATTTTTATCAAAAAATGATTTTAAATATACCAAAATTCATAATTTTTTATTCTATACAAATAGACATCCATATTGATATAGTTTTAAGATAAAATAAAAAATTTATTTTTTTTATATTTTCAGCTATCGTTATTAATAAGTGAATAAAAATGCATCAGATTTTATTACAGTACATTCGTTATTCACTTATGAATAAAAAATATGATTTTTTTTTTACAATTTAAGTATCATTCATATATGAATACAGCATATAATAAACATAGTATATTCATATTTTAATATTGGACGATGCATTCACTTGTGAATATTAACATAGTATATTCACTTGTGAATATTATATGATATATGCACTTATGAGTATTAGATAATATTTCATATGTGAATATTACATAGTATTCCATGGTATATCAAATGAGAATATTACATACTATATTCACTTGTGAATATTAGATCATATATTCACTTATGAATATTACACAGTATATTCACATATGAATATTACAAGGTATATTCACTTGTGAATATATTCACTTATGAATATTTGAAGGTATTTTGACAAATATATATAATTTTTATATGTTATTCACATATGAATAACATACAGACTTGCATATTTGTTTTATGTTTTTAATAATCATATACTGATTCCGGTGAGAAAACATATTCATATGTGAATATAACATGGTAATTTAGTTTATGCATTTCATCAAACAGTTGGAGTGCATACAAGTTAACTATTTTAAAAATGTTAAAAACATCAAGTTATCAAATCCAAATCATCATATACTTCCGATTTCGTCTTCAGATGCGACATCCTATGTCTGATCGATTTCTCATTTTGATTTTGATTTCCGAAAATCCAATTGGGAACCTGTGAGTACCGATTCTGAGTCCTTCCCTGTCAACTGTGACTGCGAGTCTAGAACTCTTATTCCCATTTCATGAACAGTGAAGAAATTCCAGTTTAGTTGAAGAAATCTGGATGATTATTGAAGGTTGGATGAAAATTTTTGATGATGAACGAATTGTTATCGATACGTGTTTGAGATTGAAGGTTATTAACATATTTACAAGTTTGTCACCATGTTTTTTATGCTTAGATTAAATGAGTGGCTGAGAATGATTCCCCAATTCTCAACCTTTTTTATTTTTTCGATTGAACTCACCTCTCTTTCTCTCTCTCTCTCTCTCTCTCTCTATATATATATATATATATATATATATATATATAATGACTATTGTGTGATCATTGGAATAAATCTGATATGTACGTGTGATTAAAATATCAATGGTCTAGGTTAAAATGACATCATTATAATTATTTAGAATATTATTAAAAGGTTTAAAGCAAAGGGTTGTAAAAAAAGGCAAATCGAACATTTTATTTAGAGAAAATAATAACATTTTTTAGGGAAGTTGGTCAAATCCATTAATAAAAATACTATTGACATAATCATCTTGTTCTTGATAAAATCGTCTTTTTCCTTTTTAAAGGAAACAAACAATCTTGACAGAATAATCTATATTGATGGAAGCGCCAAATGAACCTAATGATTTTAATATGCAATCAATTATTCCAAAGGAAAATTAGAGGTTGGACGATGACCAAAGCTTCCCCATCTTTTTGCGCAACGAATCCCCCATACAATCCCATAGGTTGAATTCGGATCCATAATGAAATAATAGGACTTTCAAGGAAACAAGTTGCTTTCTTTAGTGCTTTTGTATAAATGTTTCTTTTTATTCTATTTCCATGTAGTTATTGCATTAACCGTATTGTCAATTATGTCTGGAACAATACAATTATTTCTATCTCAATAAGATAAAATCTTGGGAATTGAATTTTGAGAAACATGTCCTTGTCCAAATATCTTTCCAAAAATAATGTTTCAAGTCCACATCTATTTTTTATTTTAAATAACTTTAGAATTTGAACATCATATTCTCTCATGTTTGTCGTAGAATACCACAATCTAGGGTTGGACATTCTCGCCATTAAGCAATTGTCATGACCATTAAAATTGTTAAGGGGCCGAATTGAAACCATAAAATCTTATCTTCAACTAGTATTTTCGACCACCATTTTTTTAGTAAAACCAGATTCAAGGCTACCAATTCTAAAACCTCTCATGTTTTTTTTGGCACAAGCATTTTGTCCTAGGGAAAATGACATTGTTGCACATGAAAATTTTGGCATTTATCCAATTTGGTCACTAAACTTTTTTTGCATATTAGACCACTAAACTCGTATTTTACCTTTCAATTAAGTTATTTTCCTTTATTTTAACCAGTTTCCCGATTGACGTTGTATATATGTCAATTAATATTTATTTTTTTGGTTAATCCAATGACACGTAAGATATGTCACGTCAATAAATGATATACGATGCTTAAAACCAAGCAATTTCACATGTTGACCTTCATTCTTTATTTTTCACTTCAAAAGAAACTGAGTTGGGGTTTGTGAACCATTTTTGTGATCGACCTGAAGTACCAACGAAGTCGCTGCAATGGCACAATCAGAACCTAACAGACTATTTGCGATGGTGGAACTTAACTACCAAGGGGTATTTCCTCGTAATCCTTTCTCTTACATTGGTTGTGTGGAAACCATGTTCAATGATGTTGACTTTTCTTCCAATGATTTATTCTAAGTGTGTGACCTTCTTCGAACATTTCATGCATGAAGATTGTAAAAAGTTGTACTACTGTGAACCAGGAATTTCCCTGATTGAAGGGCTTAATCCCATTTCAGATGATGTTGAATGTGTTGCTGTTATTTTTTATGCTTATGGAACAGATGGTATAATTTATATTTATGTTGATCATATTGGTGTTGGTGTTGATGGGTGGTTTGATGATGAAGATAATGATGATGATGGACGCGACTCTTGTATTGATGGTGAAAATGAAAATAACATAGATAAACTTAGGAATGTTGATTTGGAATTTAATAATGATGTAGTGCATATGAATAAGACATTAAATGATGCTTTCTTGAGTAAGTTATATGTTGATGAAGAAGAGGATAACAACATTGTAGAGGATGATGATGGGAAAGAATTTAAACCTAACATCCAAACTCATTCCATATTTAATGAGTTATTACACTGGAAAAACAAAAACCAATTCTAGGAATGAGATTTAAGGGTCCAAGAAAAGTAAAATCAATGTTGTGCAACTATGTTGTGTCTAATGGATATCAACTTTGTTTTAAAAAAAATAATAGGAGAAGACTTTTGGTGAGGTGTAGTAAGGGTGCTTTTACATTTAGATTATAGGCTTCTTGGATGAGTGATGAAGAGAGTTTCTAAATCAAGTCACTAAATGTTAATCATAATTATGCTAAGAACTTCAAGTTAGGATCATTGGGGACATATGCATGGATTGGTAGTCACTATACCAAAGAAATTATACGAAGTTAGACACCGAGTGTAAGGAAACTCAGGGTTAAGGTAATATCCAAGTTTGGTATACACTTAGTATGGGGCAATGTAAGAGAGTAAAGAAGTATGCACCAAATATTATTCAAGGTAGTATTATTGAATATTATGGTAAAACTATGGTCATATGGTCATGAGATTTTAAGGACAAATCCAGGGTCATATGGAGACTGGTCTAGATGGAAAGAAGTATTTTAGCAAATTCTATGTGTGTTATCAAGGAGTGAAACAAGGTTAGAAAGAAGGTTATAAAAGGATAATAAGTCTTGATGCCTATTTTATGAAAGGGGTTTGTAAGGGGAAATTGCTTTGTACAGTTGGGAGGGATGTAAATGACCAAATATATCCTATTGCTTGAGCAGTGGTTTGTATGGAGAACAAGCAGAATTGGAAGTGGTTTATGGATCTGCTCATTGATGATCTAAATTTGAATTTGAATTTAGGCAATGGATACAGTTTAATGTCAGACCAAAATAAGTTTAGTATATTATATAGTAATATATTTCTATTTTATTTAGAATTTTGACATATACCTTTTTATTAAAGAGGGTTTGATTGAGGCTATTAAAGAGTTGTTGTCATATGTATAGCACAGGCAGTGTGCTAGACATATTTGCCAAATTTTACATAAAAGATTCACATGGGCTATCTATCATACACTGCTTTGGAGAGCATAAAAGCTACAAATGAGAATGCATTTAAAGTTTTGATAAAGGAAATTGAGACATTGAACCCAAATGCCCATCAATACTTCATGGACAAAGATCCCAATACTTGGTCAAGAGCTTTCTTTCAACCTGGTAGGTGTTGTGATGTTGTCAATAATGGCTTCTCTGAGAGTTTTAATGTTATAGTAATAGATTTCAGGAAGAAGCCTATTATCACCATGTTAGAAGAGTTGATATTGTGCATGATGGATAGATTGTACAACATGAAATTGAAAGGATAATAATAGGGAAATCATATTTGTCTAGAAATAAGGAATAAGGTGAATTTACTTAAAAAACTCCAAAGACACTTTCAAGTACTACCTAGTGGATAGTAAGGGGAGTAGCAGAGGCATATGAGGTGGACTTGGAAAGAAAAACATGTTCCTGTAGGTTGTAGCAATTGAAGGTATATGGTTGTGATCATTCTGTAGCAAGCATATCTTATCTTAATAGGGATGTATAAGCTTATGTAGACAACATGTATAATACCACCACATTTAGAAAGGCCTACAGTTATAGGATTGCTTCCATAAATGGGAGTGTCATGTGGCCAAAGACAAATTATACACCACCATTGCCTCTTATTAGTAGAAGAATGTGTGGTAGGCCTACAACTAAGAGGAAGAAATATAGTACAGAAAATAAAGGAAAACACAAGGTCTCTAAGGATGGAAAGAAGGTTAAGTGTAGTATATGCAAGGAGATAGGTCACAACAAGGCTACTTGTCGGGAGACAATACCTCAAAAGTTAAATGTGAAGAGACAGAAAATTAGCGACAAGCAAAATGCAGGAGATGTAAAACAATTTCAAAATTAAATATGGTTACATTTAATTTGTCACTTACATTGTTGTATCCTGTCATGTAGGGTACTAGTAATAAAGGTCAACAACATGAGAAGGTGAAAATGACTCAATTGAGGTGGAAAATACTCAAAATGATTTTCAAGTTGAGCTTAATGATGTTCAATCAAGTCCTAGTGATGCACATGATTATGCTTATATGCAACTTACTCCACCTAGAGGTGAGGATGTTGTTGAGGGTGTGGCTAATGTTCAAGTGCAGGAGGGTGTGGCTAATGTTCAAGTATAGGAGGTTGTTGCTAATGTCTAAGTGTAGGAGGTTGTGTATCATGTTCAACGGAATAGAGTAAGACTAATTTCAGAAATTTTAAAGAGGATAAGGAGAAGGAAGTCAGAGAGAATCTTGAAGCTAAAATTAGGCAAGAAAATTGGTGGTTGTGATGATCCGGGAAATTCTAAGGGAAAAGCTCCTTTTATTGATTGGTGTGCACTATTAATTGTTATTTGGATTTATGTTTGTTTATTACGATGATGGTGAATTTGGTGTTTTAATTGTTGATTGAATTTATGCTTATTATGTTGAAATGGTGGTAAAAGGGCATGTTGGTCATTTTGAAAGTATGTTGCCTATTTATGTTTTATAATCCCATACTACGGTACTTTGGTAAACTTCTTATTTGGATTGCTATTTGGATGAATGAAAGTATGTTGCCTATTTTTAACTATTAAACAGTTTGTCAAAAAAGTCCCTAGTAATATATGCATGCATGTATTTTGCATGGAAATTAACTACATTAATATATGCATGCATCTGAAAGAGTAACATGGTGTCAGTCGTGTAATATTAATGAGTATTTTGGACCAAAGTATTTGGAAGTAAGTGCAAGTGGCCCATAATTTTCCTGTGATGCACACACTTTGTGTTGCATAATGACAGTGTAGTAACAAATGGTCCACTATGAACTAGAATAATATATACAAACATGCAACGGAAAGTAAAGTCATATAGAAAAACATGTATTTTTCCCATTAAAGTAACATTCCACATTCCTTGAATATTCCAATTATAGCTAAAATGCACTTTCCCACTATAGAAACATTCAAATATTATAATTAAAAAAGACTTCCATGAGCCTTACAGTTGTCATTGGGATTTACAAAGGATACAAAATGCAGCTAAATTCCAATTTAGTCTGACTTTATAAAAGATACAAACAAGCTTCACATCCCACTACATACACCAGATCATAGATACACCAAAATCCCCCACCCAACATTCTAACTACTTGGATAACTTAAAAACATAAAACACCAACCCAAGAACCATAAATGTAACCACCATCTTGTACCTATGTATTGTCTTCTTGGAATCAGACAGATCCTTATCAATGCTTCCCACCACACTTTTCTCCTTAGCCAAGAAAAACTCCAATTCATCAATCCTATTCATCAAGTTATTGATCACACCAAGATACTATTTATCATCCAACGTCTTTTTTAGAGAATAAAAGAGGTTTTTGTAGTACCCTTCTTCATGTTGTTCATCTTTACATTCAAAATAGCCACATTTTTTCAAGTTGGTCTATAAGCAATCCACATGAAGACAAGTTCAGACAATAATATCAAAATGAAATGTAATCACCAAATGCACTTTAACAGCCTTTAGTAGGACGATAATGCATATGTTTTCAGACCATTAAAAAACAAATGCACCAAATGTAATCATCAAAATGTAATAAATCACCAAAAATACTTAAGAAATCACGACACCAAATCAAAGTCAGTAGACAATATCAACAACATATAAAGGGTAAATTTAGGGGGGGGGGTCGAAATATAAGGGTTTTTTATGCTGAAACCCTAAAATTTTTTGCATTAACGAATCGAGCTACATCAGAGCTTACTATACTATTTTGGCAATTCCAAAAATGCCTTTCGGGGTTAGTAAGTTTCCAATAAGTTCGTTCCTTAGCTGGAACATCGCAATCGCATTTCGGCACACCATCTCAAACAAGGATACAAGCAACCTGGAGCCAATTCCTTGCAGTGGACGAGCTCGAAGACATTAATCTTAAAAAACACACCAATCGGATTAAGAAAATGAAGGTTCTTGATTTGAGTTTTCACGAATAGGTAAGAAAGAAGTTAAGGTGGTCCAAATCAAGGTTTCAATATGGTTGGTGGGCAGATAGATTGGCATCGCCACGTCAGTATTCCCTGTTAGATTTACACGTAAGCATGAAACCGGGAAACCGATTAGAATCAGGGAAAATGACTAAATTGAAAGGTCAAATACGACTTTAGTGGTCTAATGTGTGTATGTGTGTGTGTGTGTGTATATATATATATATATATATATAAGCCTCATGTCTTAGGAATTAAATAAAGTGGGATGAGGTGGATGTCTACCGAATAAGAGGGGAATTTTGATGGAATTTTGTGGGATTTTGGGGTGTTTTTTTTCGAATTTTAGCTTGAGGTTTAAGGTTTGTATGTGCTTAACCACAGCCAAGTCCACCAATGGTCTTCCTCCACCAAGACGAGAGCTCTTTACCACCACCGATCCTTTTTAGCTTCCTGATACCATGCATTTACCCATATTCCTCTTCACGAACATGTTTTTTTGACCCAGGACACCACTGCTCTCTTCTCTCTCAAGGTACAAATGTTCACCATTTCTCCTTTTCTCCTTCGCTCACCTATTTTAGACATTATGTCCTCCCATTTCTCTCTAACTTAACTTAATGAGAAATAGTGGTCTATCATCACCGCTGATGTCTCCGACTCACCCTTTGTCGAAATTTAGGTTAACCTTCATCAAGCATCTTCATATTCTTCTTTCATTTTGGGTTTGACCTATTTCATAGGATTTGTGCCTTCGGTGTAAGTAAGTGGTAGTTAAGGTTTATAATAAATTTTTAAATCTAATTGGAGCATTTTCCTTTGGAAGTGCTTCTATTGAAGTGGCCATGAGAAAGCAGACAATTTAAGTGGGTTGATTTGGAGACATTGTACATGTCACATAAGCTTTATGACCCTAATACAACAGTCTAATAGGATGCTATTTTATATGATGAAGTTTACATTTGATGCATCATCACTGATTATTAATATTGTTTCCTTTTATCTTTGTGATTGCAGGAGATTATGCTCAAATTAGGTCTCAATTTTGTGAAGAACTTCAACGACATCATCTTCCATCATCAATGGTGATTATGTTACTACTAACAGGCTATGTCATTCAATTTTTCGTTCTTGTGCTTAATTTCCTTCTCCCGCTTGAATTTATCCTTAGGTTGACAATCGGAAGAATTATTTCTCTATCTCTTTCTTCCAATGACACCACCCGCCTCTTCCTTGATGTGCAATTAACCGAAGTAAAGCTGTCAATTGCATCCTCTGATAAGGACTTTCGATCCCATTCTATTCATCATTAGTTTTTTTTCTTCCATTTCTTTTTACCCCCGACAAGAAAAGAGCCTTGGACTACATCAACACCAAAAAGAGGCAAAGCCTCTTGGCATTCTCGATCACTTCCTTCCCCGTTTGATTTCACTACGTTGTTGCCATGAGGTATAGAGCAACATTCTTAAATCTGATTAAATTACACACAATCACATTTCTTTTAATTTCTTTCATTATTGTTTTACTTTGAGCGGCCTCAATGATGATTTATGGTGGAATTTGTTATTTAGTGTTAAATAGGGAAATTTTTGATTCTTCACAAACATCAATGGAATTGATATCAACAGATGGTATGTTGTAGGCAATGGAATCTTTGATATACAATAAAAAATACCATATGATTGTAATGGAAGCAGATGCAGTTTTACACCCATCATGTTCTTTCTTTGACGTTCTCAGCTTGTTTGGGAAGAAACCCCTTTGCATCAAGCTCAAAGGTTCATGCCTCCCTTCACGTTTTCCATCTATATTTCACTCTACTTATTTATATCATCACATGTTGCTTTTGGGGATATAAAAACAATATCTGGGTGTTTTTCACATGCCAAGTCCACTAATTAAACAGTTGCTCACCAATTGTTTGAAATTCCTTTGAGAGATATGTGGTCTATAACTTGAATGGGAAGGGTTATTAAGATTATCATCAAATGGTCAAAACTAACCCTAAATAATTTAGAGTTTAGTGCTTTATTGTAATCCTAACTTCTCTTATCTTATTTTTATACAGATGTGCTCTCCATAACGCTGAGTGATTGATATTGCTGCAGTAAGTGTGCACTAAATTTGTTAATTTAAATTGTGCATGTTTTCTTAATAAATTTAACTTTATTATATTAATTACAAGCTTATCACTTATGATTAACAATTGAGCAACTATGTCCACACTCCAGCCATGGCAAATCAACAACTAATTGACAATGGTCACCAAATGATAGATGGAACTGATGACCAGGCATTGAACATCAAAAGAAGGTTAATATCTTTTAAAATACTCACATGAAAAACTTTTAGCATGTAGTTTTGTTAATTATTACACTATTAGTCGTAACAACACATGTATATATGTTAATATTACATCTACTTTGGATTTTACTTTTAATGTATATTCCTTTTACTTGAGGCTTACCTTTTCATCATGCATATGATGCTTGTTTTAGGAGTTTTTATGGTTGCGGGTATGAGGCAAAGGTTGTGTATTTTCATGACACCTAAAATGTTAAGGCTTCCAAAACAAGCAGATATGTTTATTTTGGTTCACGGTTCACCCCTTCGTTGCTAGAAAATAAACATGGATGCGATGCATGGTAAGCTATTAGATATATTGTCACTTACTCTCTACACACTATTTTCATTCAAAGGTTTATGTAAATTTGTAAAATGTTAAGACTTAATGGAAGGAAGGGGAAAAAATAATAAGAGCAAATTTAAGAAAATGACATGCACACTAGAGTTAAAGTAAGGAAACAAAACAAATGAGAGCAAATCTGTAAAAGGTTGGGACATAAGGGCATCTACAATGCATCAAACTCTATAGAGTTTAATGGATTGCATATCATTTTTTTTACATTCTCTACCATTTTCTACAATGCATTGAACTCTACAAAGTAAGACTATTAACCGTTATTTTCATTTTTTTCATTTGAAGATTTCATATTCAAAGACTGAGCAAAAACGAGTTGGTTCCTTCAAATTACACACTTCTATTTCATAATTGTCTTAGTTATACAAATTGAAATTCATTTATGTAGAACAATATGGAATATCTTTATAGTCTTTTGTGTTCCTTGCGTATCGAGCCATGGTGTGGACGGACATAGTAAGCAATTAGTGTTCTAAGGGCAAATTCATATTTTTATGTACATGGTCTACATGCATATCTAGGAAA